TTCAGACAATTCATTCACTTTTTAAACTCTGCTGGAAGCCAGGGTGTAATGAAGATGTTGAGAAACTCCCTGATCCATATATCGTCTTGAGTTTGCACCTGTTAGCACCATGAATCTGTCTGCTGCTCGACGTTTTAATATAGAAAGGTGAAACGTATGCTTGAGGTCATTTGTGCCATGCTTATCCGTGTCACACTCAGAACACATACATATTGGCAGTAATTTAAGGAATCTTAATTATTAAGAGCTCATTAAAATAATGTTTGTTGATTCTGTGTTTATGGAAAAAACATAATATAGAAAATGGTCAGTGTAGTGAGCACATAACTAATGACAGTAATTAAGAGTTAAAGCAGGACATGGGTCTGTAAATGATGACACATCCACACAGCAGACAGTTTGACTTATGATTTTACAGTCCATCATCAGTTTCTTTTATATATTTGACTAACCTATAGGTGCATTTACAGCCTGTTTGCCTGGCTGCTCATCACACTCCTCTCTACTGATCTCATCTTCCCAGAGCACAGCCATGGCTTTTGAGACAAGAATACAGTTCAGTCATTATGAAGAGACACCTACAAATGTATGGTGATGGTAGTGAAATCTAGCTGCATGTGAAGGAGCTGCTGAACTGAAGTATGGGACTGTGACGATTAAGTGACACATAAAATCAATACAAGAGTCAGAGATACAGCCGCATCGATTCAGAGGCACAAATTCAAAACAAATTTCTTTAAAAAGCTCTAAAATTGATATGGATATCATTGTACCTTTGTGCTTCTAGTGTGTGTACGTGTAACACACCATCTCTGGCCCGCGTCCCGTTGTATGGCTATTTCTAGCAAACCAGATCGCAGATAAAAAAAAACCATATCAGAGGCCTCTGTGTTAAATGTGCCAGCTAGCCAAAGGCCAAAGTCTGGATGTATTTCAGATTTTGCAACATATATAATGGCAGGATTCTTGATAAAACAACAGCAGTGTGCAAAACAGACAGAGCTGGGGTCATTTATACCTGAAGCAGCTCAACCCTCACTCCCCGCTTACGAAGGCACCTCTGTATGAGAGGAAAAGGCACTGTTCACAGGACCTAGTCAGTAGGTTCACTGTGCACCAGCGCCCATAGTTTACTACTGTTGAAAACAGAAAACATGTTTTATGTATTTGGATTTTTTGCTTGTTAGTTTTTTGTTTGAAATCCAAAACTGCTTTGGGGAAACACTCTTGTGTTTGTGTGATTGTCTAGCTAAAACACACACTTGAATGTATGTATACTTATACAGAATATCAACTCACCTGAATCGAAATGGACTGAATTGCACCATATTGTAGCATTATAAATTTAGCTATATTGTTTTTGTATTGAATTGTGGACCATGTATTGAGATACAGACCAAGGAGACGTAAACACGAGACAGGATCACATGACTTAGTGACACCCAGACAAAAGACAGAACAAACACCTAGTGTCAATATCAGCACTTATTTCTGACCCCCAACCCCCTCACATGAATAAACACACAAAAAGCAGGTCATGACCCTGCTTCCTGAGGGTTCAGCCACAGGACAGTGGAAGAGTTTTGCAACAGGCAGCAGAGGTTGCCCTCTGTATGTGGGGCTCGACCCACCAACTGGCCTTTGAAGGCACATCAGGATCAAAATCAGCTTTACTGGCCAAGTACACAATGTTGACTCTGGTACAGAGGCTCTCAATATGCTTTTTAAGTTAACAGAAAATAAAAACTAAAAATAAAAATATGTGCAATCAAATAGGAAAGTACAGAAGAGAGACACAATCTACATTGTATATACACACACACGCTGTGTATTCATTCCTTGTGGGGACTTTACATCGACTTACATTCATTTCCTGTAGACTTATCCTAACCTTAACCATAACCACTACTTACCTAACCTAAACCTAACCTTAAACCATGTTGCCACCCTAAAATTCAGTGAGTTCCTTGTGGGGACTAGCCGCTGGTCACCACACGGATGGCCAAGTCCCCACAGTGTGAATGTGTTAACAGGTTTCGGTCCCCATGATGTAAGAAATACAAAGGCACGCGCACACACACACATGTCCACAGGGCACGGCACCATGTGCCATTGAGTTCACAGTTCAGGTATAGTCCGTTTATCCAGCCATGACTGCCGACCAACAGCTGCGCCACGTCAAGGATACATGAGCTGTTCAAGGGCACTGGCCATTGTGGCGCTGGTGCTGGGCAATGGCATGCGATGTGTGCTAGCTCCTCACGGCATTGCACAGCTGCTCTCCCATTTCCCAGCTGTGGCAGTGTTGTGGCAGCGACCTGGCAGGCTGTCTTCTCCACACTGAGCCGCTTTGTACCAGCCATGACCCGGGGCAAGGAGCCCCGCCTCAGTGCACAGGCAGCGGTGCCCCACTCCACCACCAGCTCCAGGGCTTCACCCAAAGTTCTGGGGTGGGCCAGCTGCATGTGCCGTTTCAGCTTGTCAGGGATGAGGGCCTGGACAAACTTATCTCTCATCAACTCACCCTGAACAGGACATGACATGGAGGTACAGGCGCGCCAGCCCAGGCTCTCGACATCATAAGCCAAAATGTAGAGGGATTCTCCTGGCAGCTAGGTGTGGTGTTTAAACTCACTGCGTTCTGGTCGAGGTGGGGGTTGGTCCCACTGCCCCCAGCTTGAACTGACCTGCTCACAGCTCTGGAACAGCTGGCTGGTCGACTGGTGCTGGCTTTGGGTCACTGCAAAGCCGGGGTGGTGATGACTGGGTGTGGTTCCTCTGGCTTGCCTGCACGGGAACACTGGCTCCATCAGTGGCCTCATTTTGGCGGGCTCCTGCTGAGAGGGGGGTGGCAGGAAATTCCCCGGTGGCTGCGGGCCCTTCTGCTTCAGGTCGCACCGCCTCTCAGTTCTGTCACCTCCAGTGACTCTTCCCCATCTCACCTCTGGAGCGGGCCCAATGTAGGCTAGTTTGAGGAAGGAGCTGGACACAGGAGCTTCCTTTTCCCCTTTATTTTCACACACACACACACACACACACGGGCAACCGCACCAACAGCCAGAACACCGAACACTGAACAATCCCCACCAACCCCGAACTAAATACATCCCGCCCAGAGGGGCATTATGGGGGATCCCACCAGGTGCTTCACCCAAGGCATTCTGGGAGGTTCTGCCAAGTGTCTCTCCAACCACAGCACTACAACACATTAACTTTTAAATGTCAAGTAGATTCTCTTGTTGGAAACATGCATTAGAAACTGGGCTTCTTCTATAGAAATAAGTAGAACTTTCCTTTGAGCTGCAGAACTACGATTGTTGAAGCGGTAACCACTCAGTTCAGGGTTATGGGGACATTATTTATCAACATGCTGCTGCTTCCACCTTGAAGCGCTTTGATTCTATCTACCATTCTGCTGTGAGGTTTATTACTGAAGATATTTCTAATGCATCATTACATTTTTTCTTATAAATTTGGTTGGTCCTTCTTGTCTGAGAGATGTCAGAAATATTGGCACATATTTATTTACAAAGCCATCAGTTGAAAGCTGCCCTCTTATATTTCATCCCTTCTGCACTGGCATTACTCAACCCGCTCGTGTGATTACTGGACACTTCAGGTACCTAAGACCAGAAGGGAGTCAGGAAAGACTACATTTGCTGTCAGAGCTGAAGTCTCATGGAATAATCTGCAACATCAGTTAAAAATGAAAACACTCGCACCTCTCTGTCAGTTCAAGGTAACCACCAACAATCATTTTCTTACTGTTCGTCACTGCTTTCATTAACGCTGTTTTGTCAGTTGTATTTCTCTTTCTGTGACATTTAATTGTACACAGGGTGATGCTGTAAATTAGCACATGCTCAGTTAACCTACCCTGTATGTATGTTTATATAAATACATACATAAATAAAATGTAATTAATTAACTGTCCCAGAGATGATGACAGGTTGTCTAACTTGTACTAATGATTTTCTGGGCTGGTCTCATTCACTTTCACTATTCAATGCTTAACTGTCTTTTATTTTACCACTATTCACCACTTGAAATAGATTTATTTAGTAGTAATTTGTCTGCATCTACTGTAGGATGTCCAAATATGGCCATGTGCCGCCTGGTCCTCTATGCATCTCTTCTAAGATTTGAAGAACAGAAGTCACATTGTGTCTGACTGGCACTGGTGCCAACTACTGTATCTAACAGAGCATTCCACACACCTACACACACACACAAAATAACAAAATGCAGTCTTTGAGGATTAAGAGATATAGGTTAATGTGATTCTGAATATGGTAATGGTCTGGGTTGAACACCCAGTTTGTTTCTTCACCCTGAGTTCAAGTTAATGTATGTCCATACTCCAGCTCTGACTCAACACTGCTGCTCATTTAATAAACTGTATATTTAAAAATAAGTCCATGATCAGCAAAAGCTCATGTGTTTCCTGTGGTTCCAGTGAACTATTAATGTCTTCACAAGGTGCTTCTTCAATCCTGGACCTAAACAAAGCTGGAAATGGAAAACCGAACAGCTGTGATTTTTTGGCTGTCATCTTTGTCAGGGTCAGTGAAAACAGAAGCACCTTGTGAAACACATTCAAAAAGACTGAGAGTACACTAACCTAGTGGCAGCGTCTCTGAGGATTACAGTGTTTTCCATACAGCTAACGTTAGAATACGGCTAGCTGCCAAGGCTAGCATATAGCTGCTAGTCATTCAACTGGAACAGGAAGACAGAGACGTAGGAGAGGAAGAGGGTCGGGAAGACAGAGACATAGGAGAGGAGGAGGGTCGGGAAGACAGACACGTAGGAGAGGGGGCGGGTCGGGAAGACAGAGACGTAGGAGAGGAGGAGGTGGAACAGGAAGACAGAGACGTAGGAGAGGAAGAGGGTCGGGAAGACAGAGACATAGGAGAGGAGGAGGGTCGGGAAGACAGACACGTAGGAGAGGGGGCGGGTCGGGAAGACAGAGACGTAGGAGAGGAGGAGGTGGAACAGGAAGACAGAGACGTAGGAGAGGAAGAGGGTCGGGAAGACAGAGACATAGGAGAGGAGGAGGGTCGGGAAGACAGACACGTAGGAGAGGGGGCGGGTCGGGAAGACAGAGACGTAGGAGAGGAGGAGGTGGAACAGGAAGACAGAGACGTAGGAGAGGAAGAGGGTCGGGAAGACAGAGACATAGGAGAGGAGGAGGGTCGGGAAGACAGACACGTAGGAGAGGGGGCGGGTCGGGAAGACAGAGACGTAGGAGAGGAGGAGGTGGAACAGGAAGACAGAGACGTAGGAGAGGAAGAGGGTCGGGAAGACAGAGACATAGGAGAGGAGGAGGGTCGGGAAGACAGACACGTAGGAGAGGGGGCGGGTCGGGAAGACAGAGACGTAGGAGAGGAGGAGGTGGAACAGGAAGACAGAGACGTAGGAGAGGAAGAGGGTCGGGAAGACAGAGACATAGGAGAGGAGGAGGGTCGGGAAGACAGACACGTAGGAGAGGGGGCGGGTCGGGAAGACAGAGACGTAGGAGAGGAGGAGGTGGAACAGGAAGACAGAGACGTAGGAGAGGAAGAGGGTCGGGAAGACAGAGACATAGGAGAGGAGGAGGGTCGGGAAGACAGACACGTAGGAGAGGGGGCGGGTCGGGAAGACAGAGACGTAGGAGAGGAGGAGGTGGAACAGGAAGACAGAGACGTAGGAGAGGAAGAGGGTCGGGAAGACAGAGACATAGGAGAGGAGGAGGGTCGGGAAGACAGACACGTAGGAGAGGGGGCGGGTCGGGAAGACAGAGACGTAGGAGAGGAGGAGGTGGAACAGGAAGACAGAGACGTAGGAGAGGAAGAGGGTCGGGAAGACAGAGACATAGGAGAGGAGGAGGGTCGGGAAGACAGACACGTAGGAGAGGGGGCGGGTCGGGAAGACAGAGACGTAGGAGAGGAGGAGGGTCGGGAAGACAGAGACATAGGAGGAGGAGGTTCGGGAAGACAGACACATAGTAGAGGAGGAGGGCCGGGAAGACAGAGACGTAGGAGAGGAGGAGGAGGACAGTCAAGTGCAGCGCACAAACAACAGGTCAGAAGGAGCAAACAGAGAATTAGAAGCAAGGCAGCCTCGTTCCTATTCTTCCATACAGAGTGATTCAAGTATAACTGTATGAAATAAATAATTTGTGAAAGCTTGAGTGCTCCCCCACCAGGCTACCGCCACAGGTAGAATCTAGTTCTGTGGGAAACACTGAATTACCTCTGAAACTCCAGTGTTTCCATCAATGCAAAGGTATGTAAAAACATACCAATGATTATATAAGATGCTCAGATTTTAAATAGGCCTTGCAACAGATAGGCACAGATTGCAAGTTGCTTTGACACTGTTTTCTACAGTAACCCAACTGTTTAACCAGAAACGTCTTTGAGTTCCTCTTTGTCCAACTATTTCTCCTGGATTAAGTCAATTTCCTGGTCATTTGTGGTGTGTGATTAACCAACCCAACAACTTATGTAGCCTGGGAAACAAAGTCCACAGGAAATAAAGGAGACTGGGGTGGATGGATGGTTCAGAAAACACTGAACTTTCCCAGAGGTGCTGCATTCCAGTGCAAAATGTGGTTTTTAAATCAATGAGCATTTTAAGCCAAGCCACAAACTTTTCCTAAACCTTACCAGTTTTTAGTTTTTGTGCATAAAGCAGGTATGCTCCATGTTTGTTACTGTCACCATGACATCAAAGGCGTGTGACGTGATAGTGACCTGCTGA